ACTCTAATTATAAACAACAGTTATCTGACAGATGTTTGTACGATGAACATTTTTCTCCCTCTGCAGATTATCCTTTCACATTGAGTTATTTTTGACAAAAACTCATGCATAATTTTAATATAGTTAAATCCGTAATAGTTTCCTTTATTAATTTCCTTTTAGTATATTGTTTAAGAAATTATTCCCTGCTTTATAGCAATACAGCTATCTCCCTGTGTCATCTTTAAAAATTGTAGTTTCACTAACATAGATATAACATTTTTATATACCTGGAATTCATTTTTGTGTATGGCAGAAAGGAGATATTTGGTTTCACAATTATTTGGGTAAACAATTGTCCCAGAACAATTTATTAAATAGTTTGTACTTAACTCACTGATTTGTAATGTTCATTGTATCCACACAGGCATGGAGCTCTTCCTGAGTGCTCTATATATTTAATTTTAAACCAATACCACACGGTTTTCTCTGATGATAATGTCTTAACATTTCATAGGGTAAGATTTTTTCTTTCTTTTTTTTTTCTGTCTTTTTGAGACATGGTCTGCCTGTAGTGCCAGCTGGCCTAGAACTCACTATGTAGACCAGGCTGGCCTTGAACTCACAGAGATCCACTTGCCTCTCTGCCTTCTGAGTGCTGGGATTAAAGGTGTGTGCCACGATGCCTGGCTTTTTTCTTTCTTTTTGCTTCTTTGGGGATTTATTATTATTTTTTATTATGTTTAGCCACATAAATTTTAGTATCATTTTGCTAATCTCCCAAAACAAATCATGTTGGGATTTTGATTGGAAAATATAGATGGATTTGGGGAGAACTGGCATCTTTAAATATTATCTTCCTGTCCATTTACTTATGCTTTAAATTTTCCAATAAAGTTTTTATTCATCTTTTATTAAATTTATTCCTAGGAGTTTCATGTATTTGTTGCTATCTAAAGTGATAACTTTAGAAAAATATTTATTTATTTTTATTTTATGTATATGAGTGTTTTGCCTGTGTGTATGAAAGTGTACCGTGTATGTGCCTGATGCCCACAGAAGCCAAAAGAGGGTGTTGGAGTCCCTGGAACTGGAGTTATAGATGGTTGTTAGCTACCATGTGGGTGCTGGGAACTGAACCCAGGTCTTCTGCAAGAGCAGCCAGTTCTCTTAACCATTGTACCATCTCCCCAGCCCCCAAAGTGATAGCTTTTTAAAGTTATATTTTCTATTTGATTTCTGTTGATTATGGAAATGCGATTTTTTCAGTTATTGATTCTTTATTATTTTTATTTTATGTGTATGAGTGTATTGCCTGCCTGCATGTAAATGCACCTGTGTCATGCAATGTTCAAAGAAGTCAGTAGAAGGCATTGGCTCCCCTGGAACTGGAGTTACAGACAGTTGTTAGCCACCATGTAGGTGCTGGGAATGGAACCTAGGTCCTCTGCAAGAGCAGCCAGAAGGTTTGCTAAATTTTGTTAATGGTGCATGTTGTGGAACTCTGCCCTCCAGGCATGGCATAGCCATTGCCATCTTCAAATCAGAGCAGCTGAGATTACCTGCATGAGATCCTCACAAAGCTGAACCTGCTAACATTCCCTTGTGGAAGGAGGGAAGGGTTCACAAGGCTCATGAGGTACACAAGGCATATGTGGCACACAGACATAAAGGTACACAAGGCTCTTCCTATCCCCCAACAATACATAAGTAGTTAGTAATTGCTAGAGATGGACTCTTCTTCATTGGTGTAGTAACCCACTAGATGCTCATGTTCCTGTAAGCAAACCCAATTGCTCTCAGTTCACCAAGCTGGAGTTGGGTAGACTTGTTTCTTTAGTCTGTTGCCCTCTCTGAGATTCCTCAGAGTAATTTATGCAATACTTGGTGTCTGAACAGGGACAAGACAGAACTGAAGATAAGTTTTGTAGGAACAGTTGTACTGACCTTTCGCTGGGTGATAAGATACACACTGAGGCTGCTCCATCTGAAGTAGCATTCCTGGAGTTATTTCCAGGGTAGCTGTCTATGTAGTATGGAGTGGCATGCCTTCTTGATGAATGGGGTCCACTACATGAGTGCAGGGGGGATGCTCCCAAATGACTGATGGACTACAGAATATATCTAATCCCACAAAATAGTATATGTGGGATGGGTTCATAAGCAGGACATGGCAGCAGTTGCATGGTCTTTGCTGTAGGTAATAAGACACGCAACTGAGGCTCAGGTGTCTGCCTAGAAAGAACTTTCCCACAAAGAGGAAGTGCAAGAAAAGGGCACGTGGATGTTGTCCTCCACATCAGCCTCTGCAGGAAGAGTGGGGGGAAAGGAGGATGAGATGGAAGTGTTGGCTCGCCATTTCTTACAGCTTGGGGGTAAAAGGAAAGAGTATACATTAGATTTGTGCTAAATAGCAGCTCCTAGGATCCCCCAAATGAGGTGAGGAACCATGGGAAGAAACAGACACTGAAGAGGACAAGAACAAAGTAGAATGACAGGAGACACCTTCAGGTCCAACCTTTAAGACAGAGGAAGGAGCTGGGTATGGTGGCACACACTATTACAGCTATCTAAAAAGCTGAGGCAGGAGGATTGCTATGAGTGCAAGGCCAGCTAGGGATATAGGATGAGTTCCAAGTCAGCCTGAGGCCAGGTGTGGTAATGCACACCTTGAATCCCAGCACTTGGGAGGCAGAGACAGGTGGCTTTCTGTGAGTTCAAGGCCAGCTTGGACCTTGCTCACATTTGTTAATATCCCCTTTGTTCCTGCATCCTCAGACCAATTCTCATTTGCTTCAAAGTGACAGCAGCAGGCCTGCCCACCCTCTGTAAAAGGGTTTTATTATATAATACTGACCTGTTTTGCAGATTTAGAAAAGCATCCTAAAGACACCCAAGCATACTTAACAGAGCAAGAATGGAGAATCAGTCTGCACAGGGTACAGGAGCTTGGCAAAGTTATGAAATTCTTGGGAGTTTTATGGTTTGGTAACACATAAATGATACCCTGAAAGACGACTGAGGAAGTCCTACAACAGCCTGTGTCTATAAATGTGAAAATGTCAGTTAAGTTTAAATGCAGAAGGCCTGCCCAGATGCCATAAAGGCTATTGAATAAGACCTCAGTGCCAGGTGACTGGTTATCTTCCTATGAATTGTAAACCAAGGAGAGCCCCAAAGTACAGGTTATTGTTACTGCTGTTGGTTGCACCTCAGCACTAGATAGTAAAAGCCTATTGTTGAAGACACTGGTTGTAGGACAGAGGAATCACTGAGCTGGAAGCTGCCTCCTTGCTGGATGCCTTTTGTAGCATCAGAAGGATCTATGCAGGCTACTAGGGGAGAATTGTTCCCAATGGCCCTGCTCAGCAATGGATTCTGCATGTTAATGCCATCACACAGTGACTGAGATGAAGGATTTGCAGACATTGCAGAACAAAGATTAAAAACTGAACACATAACCGTAGGAATATTCCAAGATGATACAGAGAAAAGACTGGAAAAAAATGAACAGACTTCCTGACCTGTGGGAAAATACTACACAGTCTAACATAATGGGACTCTGGAGTCTCAGAAGTGGGATGCAGGAAATGTTTGAATAAAGAATTGCTAAATGTTTCCAAATGTGATGAAAATAAAGATGGGAATGAAGCAAACTTCTCTAAAATGCTACATGCCAAAAGGCAGCAGTGACACTTTAGAAACTGAACTGGACATGGTGGTACAGGCTTGTAAACCTGGCAGGGGGCGGGGGGACTGATGTAAGAGAATTGCATGTTTGAGGCTAACCTGGGCTATAGAGAGAGATTCTGTTTTAAATAAACCAAAGAATCAACAAACCAAACCACCCAAACAACAACAACAAAAAATCCAAAACCAACCAAACAAAAAACTATCCATCTAGAATTCTATGCCCAATGGAAATATTTTTTTCAGGGACTGTGGAGATGACTTGATGGGTAAAGTGCTTGCTGCACAAGTGTGAGGATCTAAGTTCAATCCCCCAGAACATTCTTCTTGTCCTATGGCCCCAGCCTGCTATAGTCACAAGGTAGAGACAGCAGGAGCAATCCCAGGGAACAAAGCTCTGCCAGCTTCCCTCATGAGGGCAGGAATGAACCACAGTGTATCTATACAAAGGTATTCTGGGTCATCGCCCTGCCTCTGAGGGGCACTCCTGGTCCATTTTGTGTGGACAATCATCTCACTAGTTCAGAAAGTTGACCTCAGTCACATATTGTGAATTTACAGGAAGGTACACTTGACATCCATCCCTAACCCCTTGCCCTATGACTTTGCTTCTTCCTGCCTGCATCTGCCATGAACCAGGGGAAGGAGAGGCTATAGAAAGCAGAGCAGATTGTGTTCCTGTTTATCAGATGCTCTGCTGGACCTGGTTGCTTACATCCTGGGGAAGCTGGGCTTGCCCTTCTTCAGGGCTCTGTCCTTCCTTCTTACCCCTCTAAACTCTGGAACATTTCCTAGCTGTCCTGAGGTTTAGGATCATGCTTGAAGGAGAGTGGTGGTGGTGGGTCACACAGCAATGTACCTATCTCACCTGTGACATGGGACAATCGAGCTGTAGAGAAAGTGAAAAGACTTCATGGAGCCTGGAGAAAGAGTCAGATCTTGGTGTCCTTAGTAGTCTCTGCCTCTTCTGATAGGAGTCCCCAGAACAGACTGCAGTAGCTATCTCCCCAGCCCAGAATGTTCCAGGCTTCAGGGAGGGACAACCAGCCAGGGTCCACACACATGCAACACCTAGAAAGGCCTCCAGCTGTTGCTCCCAGGGCTTTTACAGGACAGAGGCATGTGGGAAGCACGGGCCAGGAAGAAGGGTGTCTCTGCCATGTAGACCTCTCTTCTTTCTTGGCTTTGCTGTCCTGATGTAGGCAAGCACAATTCTGACCCATTCTTCCCTCAAGCCAGAGCCTACCCACCCTCCACTCAAAGGCCTTTGCTCTGGTATCTTTCCTCCAACCCACCAGCCCCAGGTTAATCTGCAAAGGATTTTCCTTTCTTAGTCTGCTGTTTTAATGAAGTACAGAGAGTAGTCACACATATCCTCGATTCCCTTATCCTCACCCAGGCCCTCTGACCTCCCTACTGTCCACTTCCTGTGGTCACAATAGGCTCAGCTTCCATCCTGTTCTTTCTGGATCACCATCCAGAGGTGGAGAACAAAGACACCCACACAGTCAGGGTCATGCTGAGCTATGACTCCGCTCAGGATCACATCTTCCATCCTTCTGTTTTTTTCTCCAAGGACTTCAGGCCCTCCTGGTCACATCTCATCAGGAGCCCCCCTGCCTGAGGTTCTGCACACAGCCTCTGTCATCCTGGATTGGTCAGTGTGGATGTCAGAAGGGAAGCTTTGGAGATCTGCCATCCATTCCATGGCTGTGGGGTGGAGCAAGGTCAGGATTCCAGGTAAGCTAGGAGCTAGATTCTGCAAGACACCAAATATTCCAGATGATCCAGAAAGCATACCTGTCTCATGATGAAGGTTTTGCAGCACTGGGCACAGGCTAAACCCAGCACTACCACATGCCCTCTGAGCTTGGGCAAAATCCTTCCCTGGCCCCATGGGAAATCTTGTTTTGGTTTGGTTTGGTTTTCTGAGACAGGATTTCCCTGTAGTCCCAGCTGGCCCGGAACTTAACCAGGCTGGCCTTGATCTCACAGAGATCCGCCTGCCTCTTACCGTCCAAGTTCTGGGATCAAAGGTTTGCGTCACCATACCCAGCTCCCCATGGGTAATCTTACTCACACTCAACATTCATTTCTTTCCAGAACTATAGTTTGGCATACATGATATAGAGAAATGTTTTAGTCCATTAAGAGCCATTTTTGCACAAAGATCAATTCTGAATAACTCAAAATGTTTATGGGCTACTACTGTATTTATGTTTTACTGTTCAAAATATACTATTAAGGAAAATATTTTCTTATCAACATACATTATTTCTCTCACTGAAAGGAGCCCACTAATGAGAGACTCAGCATGACCTTTTCAGGCACTAAATGTCCCTATCTGGCATATTTATGAAAAGACATGCAGAAGAAGTCTGTCTCTCATGTCTGTCTCATCCTGAGGCATGTGCCAGGCCACATTGGAGCACTAGGTGGGCAGCATGGAGCCCCTTAACTCAACAGCTCCTCATCTGGCCTTAATGCCCCATTTTACAAAACAGTACAGGTTAAATTTATGTAGAGTTTCACAGAAACAGGCAGAGAATCCTGCTTTCTTGGTGCAACCCAGGCACTCCAAGGAGACAGGCCCTTGAGTTGATGGCCCCCAGAAGTAAGAGACTGCTCCTCTGGCTCTCTTTCCTGTTCTCTTGTTGCCCCCCACATCCCCTTCCAGGGCAGCCACCATTACCTATGACAATGAGGGTGGCTGTGCTGACAGCCTGGCCCAGTGAGTTCTCAGCCACAGCCTTGTACTCTCCACTGTCCTCAGGCGACACACTGGGGATGACCAGGGAGCATACGCCCAGCATGTCAGTGCTGTACAGCGCAGGATTTCTGTCCAGGCTCTGATCATTCTTGAACCATGTGACACGGGGAGGAGGTGAGCCTTGCACTGCACAGGTCATGCGGCACTCGCAACCCTGTGGCAGAAGGTGACCCCGCAAACCCACCAGAAAGCGAGGCTTCTGACTCAGGTTGGGTTCCTGATATCTTGGCGCCTTCACTGTGAATCTGCCTGTGGTGAATTCCAGGTAGGAGGAAGAGGGTTAGAAAGTGAGGAAGGGGGCTAGAGAGATGGCTCAGTGGTTAAGAGCACTGGCTGCTCTTGCAGAGGACCTGGGTTCAATTCCCAGCACCCACATGGCAGCTAACAACCATTTTTAACTCCAGTTCCCGGGGATCTGATGCCCTCTTCTGATCTCTGCAAGTATTGCACAACACAGGTGCACTTACATACATTCAGGCAATACCTCATACACACAAAATAAAAATAATAAGTAAAATATGGGAAAAAAGAAAGTGAGGAAGGCCTGGCTGGGGCCCAGGTCTGGGAAGCCCATGGTGCTGTGAGGTATTACCTGGGCCTTCTACCACCTCTTACCTACACAATCTGATACTACTTTTATGGTTTTTCTAAAATTATTTTTGGATTTTTAAATTACAAGCTAACATATTTATTTTGGACAACTCAGAATACACAGAGAAAGAAGCAAGAATAAAAACCAACAGTCTCACTACCTATACATGATGCAGCTAATATTTTGCTGTAGAATTTCCTAGATATTTCTGTTTTTAAGACTATTTATTATTTTTATTTTATGTGTATAAGTGTTTTGCCTGCATGTATGTAAGTGCACCATGGGCCTATGATGCCTGTGGAGGCCAGAAGAGGGTGTCAAATCCCCTGGAACTGGAGTTAAGTATGGTTGTTAGTTGTCATGTAGGTGCTGGGAACTGAACTTAGGTCCTCTGGAAGAGCAGCCAGTGCTCTTAACCACTGAGCCATCTATCTTGCCCATTTTTTGTATTTTATAGAAATGAAATTACCCAGCTGGTTTTGTAAGCTCTTTTCCTAGTGACCTCTTTAAAGGTCTACATTAATTTGATGATAAAATGTGCTTTGTTTGCAGAGAAATGTTAATATCTATCTTTACCTTATTGCCCACCATTCTTTTTGAGAATGATTCAAAGGCTCCTAGACACTCCAACACCCACAGCCTGACTCTTTCTGCCCATTGAGGTGGGAGGACCACTTTAGTTCTGGCTGGAGTCAGTGCCCCCATCCCACATACTGCACTACCCTCAGCACAGAGTGCAGACAGCTAAACTTCTCCCTCTTTAGGGCACCCTTACCTCGCTGCTGGGGGATATACCAGGGCTGGTTGGTGTCTGAGGGTTTGCTGGCCCCTAGCTCATTTTTGGCCAATACTCGGAAGTGGTACTCATGGCCAGGGAGGACTCCCAGGAGGGTGAAGCGGTTGGTGTGGATGTGGTCAGCCACCTCGCGCCAGGTGCCATGGGACGAGGAACGCATCAGCACTGTGTAATGCAGGGGGATGCACTGAGCCTCATCTGGAGAGGGCTCCCACAGGACTGTCACTGTCCCAGGCACGTTCTCCTGGAGGCAGATGGATCCTGGTGCCTGTGGGCATGCTGTAGGAGAGAAGGCAGAGGAGCCATGCTGCAGGGGAGCCAACAGAAATTCTGCCATAGTCCTCTTCAGGCCCCCAAGTCTTCTGGGGGTCCTGTAGAATGCAATGTTGCCAGGCAAGTGATGAGCCAGAGCGAGCTAGGTCCAGGTGTACAGTTCTCTCTACAAGATGGAAAAATCTCTCCCAAAGAGATCCCACTGTAACCCAGGCTAACCTTAACTCTGAATCCTGCTTTAGTCTCTCAAGTGCTGGGATTATCATCTTGTACCACTATACTTGGCTTCAAAGGAATATTTATTAACTTACTAATTTTTTTTAGGTAAAATGACACAGGGCACAAACAGAGTAAGGGGTTTCACAAGATTGAGTCACAGATGCCCCACTGTCAGTCTGTTTCTTCATTTCTGAATATCCAGGGTCAGGGAGTAAGAGTCATCCTTAACTTGTATGGGGTTGTGGACAGTTCTTCCCGTAAGACCTTTCAGTGGCACAGTGATGGAAATATATTTGCTCATTTATTCCAAATGAAGAACAAATCAGAAGTGAGGATGAAGCATAAACTGTCCCCAAGTTCATGGGTCAGAATAATGAAAGGCTTTCTGGGACTCTCCATGTGCCCTGCCTCCGGAGTCTTCAAGCTCACAGGAAGAATGGACAGTGTGGTCACTGCATATTCTGCTCTGGTGAAAGGACCTATACACAGGATAGATGCAGCCTTTACACCTTGGTGAAAGCCCACAGCCAACCTGCCTTACCTGCCACACTGAGGAGGAAGCTGTAGGTAGCCCCTTTCCCCTGTTTGTTTCTCAGCAGTACTGTGTAGCGGCCACTGTCCGAGAGGCTAGCTACAGGAATCAGAAGCTGTGTGAGGCTGTCCTTTGTGGTGGTCACACTTCTTCTGGGCAAAGACAAGCCATCCTTCAGCCAGGTCACCTCAGGCATGGGGACAGCCTGAGAAACAAGAGTAAGAACAAGTTAAGAAGAGGAAGTTTCTTTGTCTTAGTGCTTGTACAAATTAATTTTTAGTTAGCTAGGAGGTGACTGGGGAATTCCTGCGATAGAAAAAGATTGCAGAGGTAGATTCTGGGACCTGGCCTAGACCTGTGGTGATTGTTAAGGAGAGGAGAATGGCAGGTTCTGAAAAGGAACTGATACAAAATTACCCTTCAGAATGAACTTTATTAGGTGAGAGAGCCTCTCAACCATGATGGTGCCTTATGGTGGGAGAGCATTAGGTGGCATCAAACCAGAGGCTGCCTGATGGGGCCTTGAAGGTGGGAGATCACCAAAGCCATTTTGAGAACATTAGAAGCGATTGTTTGAAGTGAAACAGTAGGAGAAGTGAGCTGCCATGGACAACATGGGACTGGCAAGGCTTCAGAAGAATCCCCCAACAAAGAGGACATTCTGTCTTTTCTATATTTGGCGGGGGTGGGCTTGCTTCCCCCTCCCCTTTGAGATCTGTGTGTTCACAGTAGGAGTTGTCAGTTCTTTGTCTCAAGGGACAAGATGCAGGGGGCATGGCCTGAATTCTTATGATCTGATCTCTTAGAAGTATCAGGCTCATGATCTAACAGTGATGATGTGGGATGATGATGCTACCATCTGCCTGTTGGTCCCCAGTACTAGGCACTTTGGGAATGTGAATAGTAACTTATCCGTGGGAGTGCTCTGAAAGTTTAGGATTTAACACATAGAAAACACAGAGAACAGGGCCTTGGACATAGCAAATTTAAAGTAATGCAGATCTGGGTTTGGGTACCTCCACCTATGAACTTCTTGCACAGATGATAATGATTTTAATAACAATAATAGTAGTAATACATAGAATGCTTACCATGTGCCAGGCTCTGCCTGTCTTTCTTTCATTCCTTCTTTCTTTCTGCTATCTGTCTTTCTCTTTTTTCCTTCCCTCCTTTTGTTGCTTTTTTAGTTAGCATCAAAGTAATGTATTTCATTATGAGATTTTCATATATGTATTGTTGTCTTTGTTCATATTCATCCTCAGTTTCCCTCCCTTGAAACTCTTCTCCCCACTCACTGGTCCTTTTCCTGTCCCTAAATAGTCCCCCATCTTTTCTCATGATTCCAAATATGAGAGAAAATATGTGATATTTGTCTTTCTGAGCCTAGCTTATTTTGCTTAGCATGATGATCCACCCCTTTTCCTGCAAGTAACGTAATTTCATCCTTCTTTATCGTTGAATAAAACTCCTTTAGTTTATAAGCTTTCAATGTGTTGATTCTTTGATTCCTTATAGCAGCCCTTTGAAATAGGTCACTATGATCTTTTCCTTGGCCTTTTGGCTAAGATCAAGTGAGATACATACAATGATTATCCCCACTTGAGAGATAAGGAAGTTTAAAAACAGAGAAGATAAGATATTGTCCAGAGACAAACTAGTGAGTGATGATAACGTTAGAATCTGAACTTAGGCAGTTTGGTTTTTTTACCACCACACAAACTATGCTGTACATAAAGAGTAAGGTGATGAAGATGTTGGATGAGGATCATCTTGAGTCAAGTTCAGGTCATGCATTTTCACAGTAATACATTCTAAAAGCACAGATGATTATCCACCGTGCAGGATCCTGGAATTCCCAGACTAAGGTGAGAGGTAGAGGGAAAACAAAACAAAAACTAATTTGGAGATGCAGTACCAGTATCTACCACTAGAGGGAGGGTACCAGTACAAACAAGCAGAATGGTGCCTGCCTCCAGACTAGAAGGCAGGCTGTGCCTTCAAGACCCAGTCTCCCTCCTTCCTCACTCGAGGCCTGATGTCCAACACAAGCCCAGATCTCTAAGATCAAAAAGAACACAGAAGGGGAGAGAACCCCAGGGCTGTCTGGCTCCCTGGTGGCTCTGGGTCCCCCTCTCCATACCCGCCCAGGTATACTCACTTCAAAGGAGACAGGCACTCGAATACTGTCCCCAACTCTGACCATCAGTGTATCCTTTGTGCTGGAGTCCATGAGGAACTTTGGACAGACTAGAACACATAAGATGGCTTGTTACCTCCCTCGCTGTCGGCCTCCAGCCCAGGTCACCCAGGAGGCAGACAGCAGGCTGTGCCAATGTAATGGCCTGATGGAGAGAGCTGGGAAGGACATACTGGGGGGAAAACCCAGGAACTGGTGGAGACCACTGGTGGGAGGGTCAGGAGTAAGGACAAGGATGCCCCCAGAAAAGGCTACAGTTCGGTTAGAACAAGGAAGATGTGGACACTTGGGCTTTATGTTTTGAAGATGAGAGGACCGACCATCAACTGAAGGCCTGGGGCACATCCAGTGAGGGACAGAGCCAGGACAAGAACCAAAGGTTCTGGACTTGGGCACTCTGTGCTTTTCACTGCAATTGTCTCCTCATTACTATAGTGACAACTAGAGTCAGCTGATATAGCTTACTGGCAAAGCTCCTTCTAGCAATTAAGGCCCAAAGGGAAACACTATCTTGTGATAATTGGGAGCTTGGGCATGTGTCATCTCAAAGTAAGCAACATCCATGCCTTGGAGTTGCTTGCTTTGAATCCTGGTTCTGTCTCATAGCAATGGTGAGACCTTGGGCAAAGCACCTTGGACTTCAGCTTCCTTTTCTGTCAATAGGGATCAAAAATATTAACCTTGTAGGGTGAAAAGGGTAATGAGAAAGCATTCCCAACAGGGGTTTACTTAGCCCCATGTCTCACACACAGGACGTGCTCAGTGCCATCTGTCTGTTAAGAAGGCAGCTGGCAACTACACAGCAGTTCCTCTCAGGGTAGGGCAGGAGGAAACACTCATTAGTAACAGGCATGGCATGAACCAATGAGTCCAGGGTAGTGGGCCGGCCACAGCCTCCATCATTAACTGCTGTCACCCGCACAAAGTAGCCTTCTTGGGGCTAAAGCCCCCTGGCTGTGAAGGCGGTGCCTGGCACAGTGCCCACATGGCATAGACTCCACTAAAGGCTGTCTGAGCCACACAGCTCTGCAATATATCCCTGGGCTTTGTCGCCATCCTGGGTATCTGGCCCAATCCAGTTCAGGGTGATGCTGGTGTTTGATGTGTCTGTTACCTGGAGATCCCGCACAGACCCTGGAGGTCCTGGGAAAGCACCATAAGAATTTCAGGACTGGTATCAGCCTTCCCTGAGGAGTCCATTCAAGCGGACACTCAGCCCTTCTGCCAGGGATTGAGGATTTCTTTCACTTAGGGGTTTCTGAGGTATGTACCTGGAACTGGTACTGTGCCTCAGCTATGCACACAGATTCCTGGCCACCACTTCCACTCACTTGCCAACCCCCTTCCCCTAATTATCCTGTGATTCTTGAAAGTTAGTGTTTTTAACTGATGATCTCCTGTGCTCCATTGTCTCTGGGGGCAATTCTATGTATACTGAACTATAACTCTTAAAAGTATACCACCAGCACAGATTTCTTGTTCTTCATTGTAAATGGGAACAACAGCAGCTCAACCTACCCATAGGGGTTCTGGAACAAGCAAAAGGCATGATATGTGTGCTTGGAAAACTTCACAGTGGTGTGGGGCTCTGGCTGCCAAGCCTGGCTGCACATTAAAAACACTGTCAAAAAGAGATATCAGCTCCAGAATATGATCTAATTAATCTGGGGTGCAGCAAGGCATCAGGGTTTGTAAGAGCTCTCAGGCATTCCTAAAATGTGGCGAAGTTTAAAACCACTGGTCTAGGGGAGTGCTTCTCAACCTTGATTTGTATTCAAATCATCTGAGGACTTTGTTGAAAACAGATTCTAATTCAGGAAGTTGGAGGCAAAGCCCAAGAGAGTCATTGTCTCTCTCTCCCTCTGTCTCCGTCTCTCTCTCTCTCTCTCTCTCTCTGTGTGTGTGTGTGTGTGTAGCAGGTTTCTTCCTATTTCAGCTTGTTAGTGCTATGATCTATGCCACTACACATGGCCTGATAACCGCATTTCTAAATAATCCCAGATGATGTGTCCAGTTCATAGACTTTGCTCAGCAGCAAGAATCTAGAAGATGCAGTCACTGCTGTGGCCACCGTAGGGCACTGCCCATCCTGTTTCCTCCATCCCCCATCACCAATGAGAGAGACTCATAGGAAGTCGAATAGATTTGGCCCACCAAGGGAAAGACACATGGGCTCTCCTCCTCATCCCTGTAAGCTTGTAGAATATTCTATTGTTGGAGTCATTCGGCCTGCCATGTGGCTGATTCACAAGTGCCACCAATGTGTTGCTTGCCTTGGTAGCTTATCATCAGCAAGCTCATGAGGGGACACAAGGTATATAGAGCAGCATTTTCTAAACTCTATACCTTGGAGTGAAGTTGTTAATAGGGGTTTCCTGGGAAAGGTATTTTCTATTCAAAGTTGAGAGATTTGAATCAAAGTTAGACAAGTTTCTTTCTTGTGGGACATGAAAATGTGGCCGGCTCATACCATACCTATCTTTGATGACAGACCTTTTGTTGTTTCTGTTGTCAAGAAAATATCTCTTTACATCCCTGATACTGGCAAGACCACAGACGTGAATACGGTGCTAGGCTGGCTGGCTGCCAAAGGCAGATACCCAGATGGGGCATCTAACTCCTCGAACAACGATGGCCACTTGCAGGTAATGAGCAACATGTACTGGGGAGAGAACCAAAGCTAAGCTTCCCTGCTACCTGCCCTTCAGGGAGGAGACCATCTACTGGGTGACTGGATGGTTACTGGGTGAGGCCAGTGGGCCAGCATCGAGGCTGACCTTCCTTCCCAGAGGCCAAAGAGTAGATGACATGATCTTGAGAAGGAATTTCTATCCCCAATTTAGGTCTTTAAGATATGTCTCATCCCAGTGACCTTCAACCTTGACTTCCAGCCCTCCTGACCAACTCTTCCAGGATTGACTCTGCCCTGTGATGACCTGTCCCACCTCACTGCAGCATCACTCCATGCACATCCCCTCCCCAACATGCTGGGTTGGTGTCCTACTTACTCATGGGGTCTTGAGCAAAGATAGCATCCGATGGGGACCCAGGTTCTCCAGGACCTGAAGGAGCCACAGCTGTGATCCGGAACTCATACTGACAGCCTTGCCGTACATCCACCACAGCGCACCTCCTTTCTGTGAAGGCCACACTTCATGTTAATCCCCCCCTAGTGGAAGCAGGCAATAAGAAGAAAGCTCGGCACTTTCAAATTCAGAAGACCAAACCTGGGATCTAACATAACCCTCCTGTTCCCAGCCAGCCAGGTTGTGACTCAGTTCTGCCCACAGTGAAAAGAGCACTGCTCAAGGTGTTCTGCCTGGTTCTGCCACAACCTTTCTGGATAGTCTTGGGCAAGTGCTTTGACGTCTCTGGTTCACTCTGCCTTATAGAGTTGTGGTAGTTAAATCAAGCAGAATCACTAAATGGTGATGTTAGAGATGTGAGAGTATAAGGTTCTGAGAGGCCTCAAGTCCTAAGTGGCATGCATAGCCATGCCAGAAACCAGTACTCCTAACAACTTATTCTGAGCCTGGTCTTGGGCTTCCTATATATACAGTGCACAGAAATGCAGGGGATTCTGGGACCCTACTAAGCACCTGTCCCACTCTGTCTTTTCCAGTTTTTTCTGATTTCAAAAAGCAGCTAGCTCCTAGGATACTAGGCTAGAGGTTCCATCTGTTCTATCAATGAAGAAGTAGAGATCTACAAAGAAAGTGGGGCTGCCCAAGGGCAAGAAAAGAAGTGGAGGGGTCAGGGAGGACAGCTTTAACACTGACTTCCAGCCTGAGACTTCTACGAACCCTGAGTTCCTCACCCCCAGCTCACTAATCACTAATGGATTTTGTCAGACAATTCTTTGAGATTTTGAATCTTTAGGATGTTTAGCAACATCTGTGGCTTCATAATAAGTATCAGAAGCATGTACTACCCACCCATCTATGATGATCACAAACACTCTAGACATTGCTAAATGTCCCCCAAACCATCCTACTTGAGAGCCACTGTATTAAACCAACACCAAGACCCTGGGTTAAGGAGGGGGTCTAAGGCAACATGGAGCAGAGCCAGTGAGAAACCCCACCCAGGACAAACCCCACTCAGGACACTCACCAGGCATGGGCTGTTCATTCACTGCCATCCAGGTGTCACTCCCCTTCTTGCGCTTCTCAACCAGGTAGCCCAGGATGTGAGCACTGCCAGGGCCCCGTGGTGCCACCCACGTGAGAGTGATGCTCTGGCTGGAGGATGACAGGATGGCTGGGGCAGAAGGGGGCCCTGGGAGAGCTAGAAGCAGGGGGTGCCAGTCAGCAGAAGTTGAGGCAAGTGCCAGCTCATGGGGGATGGCGTCAAGTGAGAAGCATGGGACATCTGGGGCAGAGTCACACTCTGCCTTCTCCTGGGGAGTGTTGGGGCTGAGTCAGCCTCCCCTGGGACACTGTTCTGGCTGCTCTGGAGTAGAAATGATGGAACAGAAAAGGCACTCTGACCTTGAAGTCTAGAGCCAGCCATGAGGTCGCTTGACCTCCCCTTCTGGTAGATTGTTCCAGAACAGGGGCATGTGATAGAAAAAGATGCCGACCTCTACCTAGGACCTGAGAGAAGGGGTTTTTGTATTTCCAAGAGATCCCAGAGGTCTCATTGCCTGAATGGCTGCCAGATCTCAAATGTTGAGGTCTAGGAGGGCCTCAAACCCTCCAGGCATAGTTGGCATCTCTCAGCCTGTACACTGGACATAGTGGAGCATGCAGGGGAGTCCTCTATCCCAGACCCAGCTGTTCTCTCATCCTCAGGAGCCACCAGCACCTCCTCAGACTCCAGGGTGTCCCCAGCCCCCTCTGAAGTCACAGCCCTCACTCGGAAGGCATACTTCCTGCCCTGCTCCACACCGGCATCAGTGAAGCTGGTTCTGTCTGCTGGGGGCTCTCCCATCTTCAGCCACGTGCTCCTGTTAGCCTGCCGCCTCTCCACCACATAGTGTTCTACAACCTGGCCCCCATCGTCCCTTGGGGGCCACCATTGGAGGCAGAAACCAGCCTTGTGGCAATCCTGTACCTCCAGGGGTCCCTGAGGGGGCTGAGGCTTGTCTGGGGACCCATGGAAAGGAGCAGGAAAAGGGAGTCAAAGAAGCTGAAGAGGAGCGTGTTACTTGACCCCTAATCAGTGGATAAGCCTTCGAGGGGGTGGATTGCCCAGAGCACACATGGTTCCTGACATAATCAGAGGCAAGATGCCAGCTTAAGGCAGTGTCTCCTGTTGGTGTCCCCAGTCTCCACTTCCCTACTCCTGCCCAAGGATGTATTTGTACCATGGGGCATTCGGCCTGTACACAACCCCCAATCAGTAGCCAGCATGGGTACCTGCTTAGCACTCTGGAGTAGGCAGTCTTATCTTGCTGGCACAGGCTGGGGGCTACCATTCTACCCAGCAACTTCCCCAGAGCCTGGTATTTTAAGGCTCATAGAGACATAACAATGTCCTCCCCCAGTACCCATCTGGCCCCACTATATCTGAATTGCTTCTTCCTTGCAGTCTGGGGACAGGGAAGAAGGCCAGTAGGGGTGGCTTTAGATTGTAACTATCATGCAAAGGGGTAGCAGAGACCATCTCGAGGCCTGTCAGAGCTGGCAGGAAGAGCCTGGGACCCCAGAATCCTGAGGCCTCAGTTGGGGAGCAGGCAGGGTTAGCACCTATGACTTTCAGGGTGAACTCAGTCTGCACGCAGCCTCCCTCACTCCTCAATGTCATGCTGTAGTGGCCACTGTCCTTCCTGCCCACACTGGGGAGGCACAGCCGTGTGTAGCCATCTCTCAGGGCTACCTGGGCACCCTTGTGGCTGCTGCCCACCACCTCATCCCCATCCTTCCTCCAGGCAGCCTGAACAGGGAGGAGGCTCTGGAAGGGGATCTTCACAGACACTGGCTTTCCAGCCTTAACCACCAGTGGTTCGCCCAGTTTCTCTGTCACATCTGGAGCAATGGTGGGGGGATTTGGAAAAAAAGAGCCAGAGAGTCAGAGAGGACCAAGCACTAGACCCCTGGGGAACATGGAAAGCGTCTAGAGAAGGATGTGTCAGTGAAGGGTAAAGAACTCCCAACCCCACTTCATGAGGACTAACAAGGGAATTGGTCCAGTCTACAGCAGGAGAGACAGGGTCAGACCTCACCAAAAACTAAGAAGCTGGGTTACTGAGGGCATGGGTTGGCTTTTTAAATCATCTTGTAGACTGAGAAGGCTGCATACCAGTTACAAATTCAGAGGTTTCATAGGGGGGCGTTTCACCTGCTGCAGAGATTGAGGGGCAGGGTTGGGCCTCTCACCCTCCATGGTTAGGCTGGCTTCAGTGTGCTGGCTGCCTGCTACAAAGGTGTATCTTCCAGCCTGGGTGCCATCCACATGAGTGAGGATCAGTCTGTGCATTAGCCCATCCTGCTCAAAGATGACCCCATCCTGGGCAGTGAGCTGGAAACAAGAGCCACCATAGAGGTAGTCACTTGCACCCCGTGCCCCCTCCTGGCCAGCTAACCCAAGCTGCACAAATTGAATACTTATCATTAGCACTTGCCACCATTCTCACACCTGCATTAACTGTCTCAATAACCTTATAAGATTAAACTATTATAAGTCCAACTTTGTTTTTTTTTTTAAGATTTATTTAATTTTATATGTATGGGTGTTTTGCCTGCATGTATGTATGTGCACTATGTGTGCAGTGCACATAGAGGCCAGAAGAGGGCACTGGATCTCCTGGAATTAGAGTTACAGGCAGTTGACAGCAGCTATGTGGGTGTTGGGAACTGAACCTAGGTCCTCTGCAAGAGTTACAAATGTTCTTAACTGTTGAGTCAGCTCTCCAGACCCACCAGTCTCATTTACAGTTGAGGAACTTGCCCAAGGTCACATAACCTTTAGCAGCAAAGTAGGGATCTGGTGTCAGATCTCACTGACATCACTCTGCTGTATTGCCTGACATGACAGCTCTGATGGAGCACGAAGGAGCTGCTCAGAGAGACCATATGGTAAGGATGGGCTGGTAAGGCACTTCCACTCTTGAAGGGTGAGTGGAATGCAGTAAGAGTGGGCATGGGAGAGACATTTTGGAAGGCAGAAGGACAGCAGAAGGTAGGTCAAGGTTGGAGTGAGTCACATTCATAATGTTCTTATCTTAAATGCACCATGCTGCCAGCTGTTTAATGAAGATTAAAAAAAGAACTCTTACAAAGCCTCTACCTTCTACTTTGTTCTTCTTGCTCACCTCCCACCAATAGTTAGGAAAGAGAAAGTGAGGTATGAGGAGCTAGTACCTTGACTCCATCCTTAAACCAGGTGCCAGGTCCCAGGTCACTGGTAAGGATACAGCTGAGTGTGGCAGTCTCCCTAAGTTGTACCTCCTTATCAGCCAGGTCCTGAGAAAAGTAGCCTATAGGGCCTGGAGAGATACAAAGGAAACCCTCAAGGTCCAGCCTCCCAGGCCCTGGTCTGCACTGAATTCTAAGAGTCCTCTGTGGTTCTGCCAACTGAGCTCAGCCAGAACCAAAGCACAGTCTCCTGTTTTTCTCAGGAGCTATGTTGGCGCAGAGATCAGATAAAGAGTTCTCCTTTAGCACACACCGGAGTCCCACAGATGGGAATTTTGAGCCACACAGTTAGGCCAATACTCTGAGACTTTGGACATAGGGCTTCAAGATCAGGTACCCAGACCTCTGAATCTCAAATGGCTTGGATTCCTCCTATGCAGGTGGAGGAGGGAAGAGGTTGCTTCCTGAATTTGCAAGAGGTTAGGGAAAATAGGGACACTGGTAGGGATGAGCTCCTGTGCTGGTGGCAGAATTGGCCCCCAGGCATCCCAATATCCCCCCATGGGAGTCACCAGCTGAAAATACCTACCTTGGTCCTTTGTGAACGAATTGCCAGTGCCAGTCCTGTATCTGAATCTGGGGTTCCGGGTGGCATCTTGCCTCTGGCCACAGATGTGCATGCTGCCATCTTTGGTACCCCTCCTACTACTAAGATGCCGGTGGGGGCTCTGGCTTCCATTTTCTCTCCAATATTCTCCCAGAGATGCTCTGTCCTCACTGCCAGTCCAATACTCCAGACTTCTGATCCTCTCTGTGGCCCCTCTGTTTGCTGATCCAACCTCAGTCCCAGACTGACTCCCACAGGGGCCAGGCTTCCTGTCTGACCTACCAAGGTCTTCCCTTCCTTGCCCCTCATACTTCTTAGAAGCCCTAGATCCTTGGGCCTTGTCAATCTCAGCCTCCAGGGATCCCGTTTCTCCTCCCTGCCCTGTCCCTAGCTGAGAACCTGAGTCCTGGATTCTTCCTGATCCACCTTTTCTGCTTAATAGACGGTCTAATCCATTCTGAGCTCCCCAAAGTCCTGACTCACCAGGTTTTGGAATGACATCATCCCCTAACACAGTGAAATTCCCCTTGCTTAGGACACTTGAATCTTCTGTATGACCAGCCCTGCCCCTTCCAAAATTTGAACCACTGCTCTCCAAGGAGCTTGTACTTTGACATTCACCAGCAGCCTCTTGACCTGTTGCATGTCTCCTGATCCTAGAGCCCCCTTTCCTCTCATGGGTTTGCCTGAAAGTGGTGTCTTTCTCATGCAATGATCTCAAAACCCTGGAACTGCCTTGGCCCTGGTCTTCCCAGCCTGAAGCCCAAGTGTGGTTTGTTTCTTGCCCACTGTCAGGCCCTGACATTGACTTGGCATGTCTCTCAGGTGTAGAGCTGCTGTCTACCATCTGGCCTGCCCCTGTCAAGCTCCCAGAACCTGCTCCCTTCCTTCTGCCTTCCAGCAGTGAATCCCTACCTCCCTGAGGTGCCATGCCCTCCTGGCCAACAACTCCATCCCTGCCTGCTGTCCCTGAACATGTTTTATTAAAGTCCCAATCATGTCCTGACTCCAAAGAAGCTATCCCTGCCCAATTCTCACCCTCCTCTGTCCCCCTACCATCAAGATGCCTAGAAGTCCCCACAGCCCCTGCTTGGTCTACAGATTTGTCCTCCCCCCTGTGAATCCCTCTGTTCTGAATAGACCCTGGGATCCTAGAACCATCTTGCCACTCCTTAACACCTGGTTTTCCCATAGAACCAACAGTTCCCAAGGCTTCAGGGATTCTTGAAAGTCCATAGCCCCCAAGACTGTTCCTGCTACTCTGACCACCTGAAAAGATCTGTGTCACTCCCTGTGTTCCCAGCTTTGCTGGGGCCATGGCACCATCCCTATGTGCTATGCTACCTATAGTGACCAGAATTACAGCCATCCCAGAGTCCACCCCAGTCTCTGCTCCATCTCCAAGTCCCATTCCTCTACCCTTTCCTGTACCATCCTTGGAGCTTGTACCCTCTTCTGCTGCTGCGTGGTATCCTGACCTGGGCCCCATGGTTCTGTGATCTCTGGGTCCAGTCAGTGATCCTGGTCCTCCAAGCCTCCCTGAACCATCTGCATAGCACATCTTGCCTTCTGATCCCATTTCCCCAGAGCCCCCTGAGTCTCCCTTATAACCTACCTCACTCTTGGATCCCATTCCCCTAGCTCCTCTAAAGCCATCCATAAAACCTCTTTCATTCCTTGACAAAATGCCTCCAGAATGCTCCAAACCACTCCTACAACTTTTTTCACTCTTTAATGGAATTGTTCTGGAAGCCCCTAAACCATTCCTATAACCTGCCTCACCCCTTGACCCCATGATTCCAGAACGCCCAATATCACTCCCATAATCTATCTCACACTTTGACTCCATGACCCCAGAACCCCCAATGCCATTCTTATAATCTGCTTCACCCACTGGTCCCATTCCTCTGAGATCTCCTGAACCACATCTGAAGCCCGCCTCACCGGCTGGCTCTGTTCTCCCAGGGCCAAGACCCCTTGACCCTTCCCCATAAGCTTTTCTGTCCCCACTTCCCCAAGGCTCTGGAATTTTAGATTCATCTCTATAACCTACAGCATCACCAGACCCATGATTCCAGTGGCTCTCAGAACCAGTCCCAGCATTAGGAGCTTTTGGGTGCCTGGCATTGTCCCAGTTCCTAGTTTCAGCTCCAGTAACCCTGGCACTGAGGAACCTGATCCCATCTCCATTACCTTCCTTGCTCCCTGTCCCCCAAGAACCTGGCTCCATGGATCCTGGAACCCCAGTACCATCTTCAAAGCCTCCTTCTCCAAAGGCCCCCAGGACCCCTGAAGCTCTGAAACCCCCATAATCTCCAGTCTGATTCCAAGAGTTCATTCTTCCAGAGTCCCCTGGCTCTGCTCCCACATGTCCTTCCCCAGTAGTCTCCACTGCTCCAGGGGTTTTCAGATCACCTCTACCTATAGACCCCATTGTCCCAAGACTTCCTAAGCCATCATCAGAGCAGTACTCTCCCCTAGGGCCTGTTTGGCCCTGGCCTCTGCATATATCCCCAAACTGAGCTTCATCTATGGGTATTCCATGAGGGTCACCTGAGACATTGCTAAGGCTGGCCACTCTCCCAGACCTTCTTTCTGAAGGACCATACTGACCCTTGTTTCTAGACCACATTCCCCCAGGCATCCCTGAGCCATGCCTATAAGTATCCCTCTCCTCAGACTCTGTTTCCAAAGGTGCCCCAGAGGTGGCTCTGCAACCAGTATCATGACCAGAGCCTGCTCCTCCTGGCATCCCTGAGCCACCACGATGGGCTGCTCCATTCCAAGGGTCTGTTCTTTCAGAATGCCCCCAGCCCTCCCCATACCCAGACTCTACCCACCCTAGACCTCCTAAGCCATTCTTATAGCCCATCCCACCTCTGGACCCTTTTTCTCTGGAGCTCCCTGACCTATTCCAGAAATCTGGTTCAGAGTCTACTGCCCCTGGATCTTTTGATCCTTCTATTTCTCTCAGTGTTCCCCCAGAACCCTGGACACCCAGGCATGGAGACATAATTATCCCAAGGTTCTTGTTATCTGCCCTCTGACTAGACTCCATTAGCCCAGGTACCTGGGAACGACCCACCCCTCTTTCCTTCCTGCCAGACCCCAGCATTCCAGACCCAAAGTGGGTCTTAGTCTTTCTGAGACTGGACCATGTGTCATCCTGAGGACCTGTGTTCTCAGACTCTGTTTTGCCTGATCTCCCTGCTCCTCTCTGCCCTACTATCCAGCTCTGAGGGCTTCTGGAGCCTTCCTCTGTCCTACCCAAGGCTCCAGCTGTTCCTTGGCCATCCCTTCCTTGGAGTTCCTGTAGGCCATCTTTCCAGTCCTTCACATCTCCTGGGCTTTCAGGGCCAGTTTTGTAGTCCCTTCCCCCAACCACCTGACCACCTGCCCCCTGTGAGGAGCCCTCAGTTTTGGCCTCAGGGCTCTTGTACCCTAAGAGATGTTTTTTGTTTCCAGATAGTAATGGTTTCTGGGAATCACTGCCAGCAGATGTCTGTCCTAGATAGTCCCTTGACTCCCAGTGCTCTACAGCTTTCCCATGGTCAGCATCTGTGCCTCCCTGAGAGCCCCAGGACTCAGGGCCCATGCCAGCCTTGGAGCTAGAACTTCTTCCTTTAGGAAATGTAGGGACTCTAAGACTTCCTGCCCCATTGATGCTTCTAGCTCCCCGCAGGTGGAGTCCACCGGCCCTCACTGCCTTTGCTGTTCCTCTCCCCATTTCCCTGCTCAGGCCATCCCTTCCTCCCATCTCATCTGTATATTTGCCTTGCAAAGTTTCTGTTCCCTCCCCTTTCAGCTGAAACCCCTCAACATAAGACTGGGATCCCCACAGCACCCTCTGTTCTGTCCCAGCTCCCAGATGAGGGTCCCAGAGCTGTCCTTGGCCATGTCTGTCCAGATCACTGTCACTGCTCTCTCTGGACTCCCTTCCTTCTCTGCTGCTCCCCAGTCTTCCAGCTTGAGGGTGGCTGGACCCAGCCTCCCAACTTCCTGCTGCCCCCCAGCTTCTGTTCCTATCACCATCTCTGCCATGACCTTGCTGTCGCCTTTCCATGAAGCCCACCTCTGATTCTGAGCCCTCTCCCTGGAAGTGGGACCTCCCTGAAAGGCTTCCATCCCAGTCTCTGTCTTTGTGGAGTTGACTGTCCCTGGAAAGAGTGACCCTGCCTTGATCTGCTTCTAGAAAGACCTTTTTGTCTAGTCCAGGGCCGCAGGCTGAATTATCTTCCCCTCCATCCCCCATCAAGGAGTAGCCATGCCTGCCAAAGCCACCTCTGTCTAGGCATACTGTGAGCTGGGTCCCACTAGCCAACCTAGTCCCCTCCAGGGAGTCCTCCTCTCTGGATTTTCCTCCCTTGCCACTGATGCCCCCAGAGTTTTCTACATCTGAGGCCAGAGCTTCTGGTTTCTGCAACTGGTGGTCAACATCTGTAGTCTGAGGGCCTTTATCCTTCCCACCTTCAGTGAGGTGTTATTTACATGGAAGTCATTGGCCCAAAGAGAGACAAGAGAAAAGATAAAAAACTCCATTAAACAAGGGAAAAGCACCTGCCTGGTATGACTGCTTTGCCTAGCCCTCACCCTCTCCAGGAGGAGTAAGCTGCCCACTGGAGAAGAAATCAGGATATTCCAGCAGATTGGTAGATATACCCCGTCCTGTACCCAGAGGCTACCCATCCTGCCATGGGTCATGAGGTTTTGTGGACCCCAGGACCTGTACCCAGCAACTACCCATCCTGCCACATGGGTCATGAGGTTTTGACAAATAAATCCACATGTCAAAGTCACATACTTATTAAGATGCTGTGGTTTTTAGAAGACCCATTTATCCAATAGCCTTCCTCACATATGCCCAATTTACAGTTTCTTGGGATCATATTGAACCTGGATCCCAGTGCCTGGGAGGATTAGGTGCTTTCTGGTCTAGTACAGGGTCTTCTCATCCACACCAAACCTGGACCACTATTATAAGCTATATCCCCAACCCTAGGGTCATCTTGGATCTGAGTCCCCAGAGTAGCTCAAAGAGGTTCAATGGAGTGCACACAGCTGGGCTGGGCTGGCCACAAGAGGCTGTGCTGCACTGGATCAAGTAGATTAAGGATCCTTTCTTATCCTCTCTGAGTGAAGGAGCTATGAAAAATCAAACGACCAAGCAAAGGAAGCCCTCTTATCCCCGACCCTGAGGCCTTTCTTTGATGGAGGCATGGGAATTCATTAGTGTGGTCACTCACCTTCAACCACTAGCCAGGCACTGGAGGCATGAAGCCCAGTGTTCAGTGCATAGAGGCCCATGTCTGAGGAACCAGCACCTCTCACAATCAGCCGGTGGGTCAGCCCATCAGGGGACACAAATGCTTCATATTTGTCACTGAATTTGAGTGGCCGGTGCTGGAAATGCCAGGTAGCATTGGGGCAAGTGTTGGAGAGAATGCATTCAAAGAGTGCATCTCCCTGCTCCTCACAGTGGGCCTCAGCCAACGGGACCACCACTCTTGGGGGGATGGCTGCCAGGGAAGCAGAAAAGGGGATGTCAACTTGGCAGAATGACTAGGAGCTGAGCAGCAGGGCTAAGAATCCAGAAACCCAAGTTCAGACCAGTTTGCACCAACCTTCATGTCTCATTGGCTAAGTTGTCTTCTAATCCTAGCTTCTGTCTCCATCACTAGATCCTCATCAAGGGCATCAGCCCCCCCCCCCATAAAATGTAGGGTTGTGATTAGATTATGATCATGAGACTGATACCAGCTCTAGGATTCTATAATTCTAAACCCAAAAGTTCTCTCTGGGGGTGAGGTTGAGTTCATAAAGGAAACCAGTATGGTGAGCGCCAGTGGCGCATCCACGCCATCTATCAAGCCTATGACTATCTCCAAGGCAGGTTTCTAAAATTCCATTTTGCAAATGAGGGAACTGGAGCTTTAAAAGTTAAATGATTTGAGTATAGTGAGTATAATCCCAGCTACTAGGGAGACTGAGGCAGGATTGGAAGTTCAAGGCCAGCCCAGCAATACATAGTGGGTTCAAGACCAGCCTAGGAAACTTTAGAGAGACCCTGTTTCAAAATAAAATAAAGGGCTGGAGGTCTAGCTCAGTGCTAGAGTTTGCCTAGAATGATCCAGGCCCTGGGTCCAAAAATGAAAAAGTTAAATGACTTGCCCCAGTCTGCCATAGCTAAGAGGTGGCCTTCACCAAAGCCCATATTCCTCTGCCCACACCACATTATTTCAAGTCTTTCAAGCTGGATGGCTTTCTCTTTCCTTCTTCCCCAACCCTGATTCAGCACTGTTCTTTATGTTCTGCCCACCCAAAGCTTCCATCACCAGGACTCTTCTTCCATGAGGCTGCTGGAGCTGCTAGGTGCTCTGTGAATGATGTAGACACAGGTCCTTGTGGGTACAGAACAGAATCGAAGGAAGGGGATTCCCAGGTGGGGAAGAGACACAAGAAGCAAGGATGGAAGAGGCTTGTGCAGGACACATATGTACCTAACCCATGTGGGAATTGTTGCTCCGGATTGTGGGAGAGGAAGGCATGTATCAGAATAAGTGGTGAGGTCTTAGCATAATTGAAGATAATCAGCTGTGGCAGAAGGTCTGTGGGCAGGGGCATGTATGTCTGTGTCCTTGGCTGTAGAACCTAGCTGGGTACCAACAGAAGACAGACTTGGGTGCACCTCCCTCTCCCCGTCTTTGCAATGGGACCATGCCACATTTATTCCCCTCTACAGCACCAGTACAGATTCTCTCCTAATCTCCCCACCACCCACAACCACACAAGCATCTGTGGTGAACAGTACTCACCATTGGCCTCCAGGTCTGTGGAGAAGACCACAGCATCCTCCACCATGACCTGATAAAGGCCAGCGTCCTCTGGCCACAGGTCCTGGATCTGGAAGTGATAGCGCTTCCCCAGCCGCCGCAGACAGTGCTTAGTCTGGTTATCAAAACTGTAGGGGATCATCTCACCATCCTGAAGCAAGGAAAGGAAGAAGGATGGTTCAGGCCCTCAGTGGGTCCCCGGAGCCTCTTGCTCCATTCCCACTCCATTGCTAGCAGTTTTCTTCTACATGCCCAGGCCACAGACGATATGGCACTGGAACCATAAAAGGTGAGGGATGAGGGTGGAGAGCAGAGCATGGGTATGGAGGCAGGGATCATGAGGTAGGTGGGAACACATGTTCTAGGAACGTCCAGGCCTATTTCTACAGGTAGAAAACCTCTGAATGTTATACAAGGGCATCTGAAACTGCCGACCCAGCTTGTGCTAGGAGGAGAGTTACTATCAAATAACCTTCAGGTTATTGGGGGAGATGACTGCCCACCTCTTTCATTCACCAAACAGGAATGCTTACAGAACATCTTCAAGGCTATATAAAACACAGTAATTTGGGGGGCTGGCGAGATGACTCAGTGGTTAAGAGCACTGGCTGCTCTTGCAGAGAACCTGGATTTGATTCCTAGCACATGGCAGCTAACAACCATCTGTAACTCCAGTTCCAGGGCATTTGACACCTTCTTCTGACCTCCTTGGGCATTGCACAACACGAGTGTACTTATACACATGCAGGCAATATACTCCTACACATAAAAATATAAATAATAAATACATTATTTTTAAAACTAGTAATTCATACATAACACTCATCTTTACTAAGCCCTATATAGTTTTTTTACTTGATGCATATTAATGAAAGCTAACATTTAACAGATGCCCTCTGTGTGCCAAGCACTATTTCAGGTATTTGGGACATTTCAACAAACAGAACAGATTCCTGCCCTGCAGGAGCTAAACCTCTATGGAGGAGACAGACAAATAATAAGCATCATAAATAAGTAATTTGTGAAGGGAAAATAGAACCAAGAGAAACAAAGGGGAAAGAAGGTAGGGGACTGCGGAGCACAGGGCGGAGCTGGGAACGTAGTAGAAGCACACACACAGGGTGGTCAGCGCAAGTGCCACTGTGGGTGAGAGAATCAGATACATGGATGTCAGGACAAGCATGCCAGGCATAGGGAGCAGCTGGAGAGAAGGAACAGGGACAACGCCAAGGAGCAGGAACAGAGCAGTAAGGAGGACAAGAGGGGGTGGGGTCATCGTTGAGGGGCTAGCATGCACCGTTCCATTTGACATTTCAGTGCTCTTTGAGATAGCTCTTTTTAACCCCTCATTTCCTAAATGAGGGAACTGTGCACAGGGAAAATGTCTGAGGTGATGGAGGCAGGATGAGTTAGGCTACAGCACCTGACCCCACATGCCTGCCCTGGCCCCATATGGTCAGAACTCCGTTTTACCCCTGCTCTGGTGTTAGACTCAGTTTATGGAGTCACACAAGCCTGGCTCAATGAAAGGTAAGAGAGTCCTGGGGATGGTCTACACCAACGTCTGACCTACCTTGAGAATGCCACAAGATGAGTGTTCACCACCTGGGCACTCGTTTTCCCATGGAATCCATCATTCTCCTCCCCAGACCCGAAGTCCCCACCTATGGCCTCTAGCCTCACCTTGTACAGGTAAATCTTGCTCTCCAGGTCCTTGAGATCCAGCTCCAGGTCAAATGTGGCAACCCCTTCCTTGGTGACCCTGATGTGTCTCAAGTTGGAGATGGTATTGACATACTAGAGGGCAGACAAACTCATTAGGGGAGCCCCAGAACTATTTCTTTGGGGCACTCCAAATCCTTACCAGCTCTTGTTCCAGCCCTGGCCCACAATGTCCCCACTGAAAAAGCATTTGTGGGGTTCTTAAGTGGGGAGACTTAAACCCCTCAAGGAAGGAAATTCAAAGATAAGAAATCAGAAAGGACTCTGGGTGTTCAGGGGCTATGACTTGTCCATTCATCTCTCCAGCTGATAAACATTGGTTAAACACTACCATATGCAAAGCTCCATGCTAGGTTCCTTGTTAATACAAGTAAGAATACTTGAAGCAGGGCTGAAAGATGGTTCAGCAGTTAAGAGAGCCTGATGCTCTTGAAGAGGACTCAAGTTCAGTTTCCAGCACTCATGTCAGGTGACTTATAACCACCTGCAACTCCAGCTCCAAGGGATCCAAAGCCATCTTCTGGACTCCACTAGCACCTACACTCATGTGTACATACTCACACACAGACACACATGCATACACATAATTTAAAATAAAATAAATGTCATTTTACAAAGAGAATGCTTGAAGGAAGAAAAGCTAAGACTCTAACTGGGAGGTTGGAAGAGCCACATTCAAAGTAATAAAATGCTATTTTCAGAATGATGAAAACTAGTCATTTTTCTAATCCCAGAAAAAAATGAAATGTTTTGTTAGGTTAGACAAAGGAAGGAACTTCCTATATAGTTTATAAGATACTGGAATCAGAGCACTACAAGCCTTTAAAAATAAGGCTCCAAGTCTGGTGATGATGATAACAATGACAGTGATGACAGCTGACATTCATTAGACCCATCTCTACACTATTGGGTTTTCCAAAGCCAGCTCCAAGTGTGAGTCCCCCTCCAGGCCCTGTGCTCCAGGTGTGGGGTGGGAGCAGGGCCAGAGTACCTGTGCCATTTTGTCCTCCTGCTCTTTCTTCACCTCCTGCAGCTTGCGCAATATGCCCCGGAAGTTGACTATGCCGTACTTCATGCAGATCTTCTCATAGTCTTTACGGTCTGCAGTCATCAGCAGCTGCCACACCTGCTCAGATTCCATCTTTTTCTCAGGGGCTGGAGGCGGAGCCCTGGGGAGCAGGGCTGGCAGGTCAGAGGTCAGAGGAGCCCCAGGTATTGACCAATTGACCCTGGCATTCTGAGTGGTTCAGGGAAGCTGCCCTATGTGCACTAGAGGAGATAGGCACAGGGCCCAAAATCTCTGGGGTGGGCTACTATCACAACCAGAAGGATCCAGAGATTACAGGCCAGCCTGTATTAGAAGTAGAGGTGGAGGCTGAGTGCAGCTTGCTTATGGAAGGAATTAGGAGGAGTAGGTATCTTATGAGTTTCCAAAATCCTCCATAGACAGGCCCAGACCCACCTCTTCTTCAGCATCTTCCGAAAGTCCATCAGCTCCTTCCTGAGATCTAAAAAAAAAAAAAAAAAAAATAGGACTGAGACCCCAGGTGTGATGCCTAGGGGCTAAGCAGGGTTATATGGTCCAGAGCTCAGGACCAAGGTTTTGAAAGGGATTTTTCTGCAGATTGGTGATGCTCACAAGGTGTGTGTTGGGGGAGTTCCTACCAGATGGGGAGTAACAGGCAAGGAGGAAGCCATCCTGCCAAAAGCCCCCAGGGGATTCTGACCAATCTACCTTCCTGGGGTTCCTTTGGCTTCTTCGTGTTCCTCCGAAAGTCCACTGGAGCATGTGAGGAGTGGGGGGAGTTGGTTTGGACAGGCAGGGAGAGAATTAAGACATGTTGATGATTTTCCTGAGAAACGGACCAAGTCCTGGGGAACTGACCTCTCACCTGTCTTATTCTTTAAGGCATGGCAACATCCCAGCAAAGGGGAAGTAGCAGGGTGGGTGAGGGCCTTTCATGAGCTTTGATACCCCAGAGTCTTCACATGACCAAGGGAAAGCCAGTCTGAGCATCATCTCATGAGGGGCAGGCTCACTTGAATGTCCACAGGGAAGTGTCATGAATAAGTGAAGTGGCCATTGGTTACCACAGCAAACTGAGAGCATCTAAAGAGACAGCTGAGCTTTCAACACAACTCAGAGTTGCCAATTCAGAGTATGGGCCTCTAGCTGACAAATATGTCAGATATTTCCTTTTCTGTCACCCCCACCCCGAACTGAGGACTGAACCCAGGGCCTTGCACTTGCTAGGCAAGCACTCTACCACTGAGCTAAAGTCCCAATCTCTCAGATATTGCTGTTTGACTATTCCCACAGTAATTCATAATCCTCTTCTTTGTCATCTGCTTCCAGTGGAGAGTCCAGCAATACTAAATACATACCTTCCCAGCTTTCCTTGCAACTAGCAACAGTCATGTGACATAGTTCTAGCCAACAGCATGTAAACAAAAGCTCCCAGTTTTTGAGTTCTAGGTTTCTGAGAAAGATTTTGCTTTCTTGTTGAGAGAGGCAGGGGTACTTGGACTACCTCCTTCCCTCTTTTCCTGCTTGAGTATGGGTTAAGCTTGGATCTGCGGTAATCAGCCAGCCTGCTATGGCAGAGCATCAAGACAGGAAGGATCTGCTCTCCTCTGACAGCCTGGAACTGTGGAAAGAGCCCTGGACTCCAATCTCAGAAGTTTTCACTATGCAAAGTATTTCAGCATCTTTATTTATCGGGCTGCTTTTGGAATTTTTTTTTTTTGATGTTTATAGGCAAGTCAACTGTCAACATAATTTGAGACAATTTAAGAAATGTCAAACACCATGCAAACCAAACAAAACATGTCTGAGATAGGATTTGGACTGTGTTGCCTGTTTCTGCCCTCTGATGTAGGCCTGTACAAAATATCTGTTGTAAAGTGGGGAAACTGAGGCACAGCAAGGGAAAGGAAGTAACTTAGCAGAAGATCTGGTTCTAGAAACTGACTTCCCTTAGCAGAAGGCACAGGACTAGAAACCAACTTCTTCTGGGTCCTGGTCCCCGTTCAGAGCATCTGTAATATGGTGTGGCTAAAGCTGTGCCTTTTAAATCACATGCAGGTTGAGTGTCAGTGGATGAAGTCAGGGCTCCTGCACAAAGTGGGACAATAGCAGCAGCAGCCTTGGTGGTCTCCCTCCCCTCCTGCCACCATGTGATTCCTCTGAGAGTGCACTCAGGAGAAAGCAGATGCCTTGTGCACTGATGAGACAGGCTCAGGGGGACAAGCTCACCTTCGATGACAGTGAGCCTCACTGAGCATGTGGCTTCTCCATATACATTCACCGCAGTGCAGCGGTACAGATCTGAGTCCTCACCAGTCAGCTTGTTGATCTGTGGAGAGGCCAAGGGCAGGGGCACAGGGTTAGCACTTTCCTTCATGCACTAGGGCTGTGTGTTGGGAATAGGAAGATAAACAGACATGGTCCTGTCCTCCTGGAGCTCACAGTCTTTACCAGGAAATACAGACAACAAAATAAAATCCTGGATCAGAACAGAGTGCAGATGTCCTTGCTATTCCAGGCAACATGGGTAGCAAAAGAGCTTGCTTTGGGGATCATGTGGAACCTGGCACTTTCTGCCATGTATTGCCAAGTATGGGACCTTGGGCAAGTTCCCTAACCTCTTTAACTTCAGTTTCTTCACTTGGAAGATGGGGATAATAGTATCTCAAAGAGTAGTAAATGGTCAGGATTAAATCATATACTCCAGATTAAATGTTTGGTTCAGGGCCTGGCAAATAGTGAGTGTACCGTTGTTAGTGTCTATAGTATTACTAATTTTAACCATGACAGACTGAGAGTACCGGTGCTTCTTGACTGACAATAGGATACATCCAGTTAACCTCCCATAAGCTGAAAATAGCATAGATCAGAGAGGCATTTAATACATCTAACCTACCCAAACTTTGCCTTAGCCTTGCCTACCTAAATGTTCAATAGCACTTCCATGAGCCTGCAATTGGGCAAAGTTATCTACAAAGCCCATTTTGTTTTAAAAAGGGGGGGAGAGTTAGATACCACATGTAATTCATTGCGTGCAATATGCTATAGAGGACAGTTACAGCATGACTGATGGAGGCTGCAGGCTGCTGCCAATGCTCAGGCTAAGAGGATCACAGTTACACATTGCTGGTTCATGAAAAGACCAAACTGCATAATTCAATGCACGTTGCTTTTCACCACACAAGTCAAAACTGTGGGTTGAACTATGGTAAGTCAGGGACTGTGTAGATTCACTTTAAGGTCAGGTAGACACTTCATATAAACTTTCAATCTTTATAATTACTCCTATAATATTATTATGCCATTTCATAGATGAGGAAAGAGGCAGAAAGAAGAAGGTAAATTGCTTTCCAAAGCTAAGGTAGTGGGCCTGGGACTGAGGCACAGTGTGTACACCTCTGTAGTCAAGGTTGCCTCTCAGGTGTCAGTAACCCTACCAGATCAACTCTCTAGCTCAGGCAACCTGGAACCATGGGACAGAGGTGAACAGACTTAGTGGCCTGGGGACTGGAGGTCACTAAGAAGACCTTCAAGGGTCTAGGGGGAACCTGAAAGCCCTGGGCAAGAAGAGCTGCGATCTCACCTGCAGCGCATGCTCCCTGCTGCCGGGGGCAGAGGAGATCTGGTACTTGCTGCAGTTGCTGAGGGTTTCTTTGGTGCTCTGCCAGTGCACCTCAGGTATGGGCTCTCCACAGACCACAGCTCGAAAGATGGCATTTTTTCCTGCAGCAGAAAGAAGCGAGTTGGGAGTAGAGTGGCAATAGACTTTACTGAAATTTTCATTTACATCACCCTCCCTGTTCTAGGCATTTCAACTCACTATTCCAAGAGTACTCAACCTTGATATCCTTTACTCCTAATGACAGGTGGAAAGTTAGTTTCTAGGTATCTAAAGCAGTACTGGCCTGACTTTGCTCATAAGGACTGGTCTCCACAACGGAAAAATGTGGCTGGACTATCTAAGGTGTCAGAAAGGCAAGCGGGGCTGAAGTGGGAGGGGGACTTCTCTGAGAGTGGGTGGTGTGTAAAGAAGCTGAAGGACTCCCCCACGTCTGGGAAGCATATGAGATTTTGTGAATTACCCTCCTTCCCACCAGTTGGAAGGAGAAAGGCAGCCTTGAAAAGGAATGGCTGGTACCCAAAGGAGCTAGTCCTGAGACCCAGGACTCCAGCCTCAGAAAAGACCCCAAGCTCCAGGCAAGACAAAAAGACTTGGAAGCTGCCTCACTCTCACAGAGCCTGTTACCTCCTGCAGGAGCACCTCAGCAGAAAACAATAAGGACTGAAGGCCCCAGAGCCCTCTCTTGCGTTCCATAATCTTGTTTCAGATTTAGAAAAATAAAGTACAGTATCATAACTTTTCTTTTACCAGGACGTTGTTAACTATAATTACAGCAGGGATCTATGTTGGGAAAGGAACACAGTTTCCTGGGCACTCCTGTGGTTTTTTAAAACGGTCTTCCTGAGCCCAGCCTGTGAGCCACTAGGCATATAGCTGTTTAGAGCAAAGATCAGAGAAGAGATGTGTGTGTGTGTGTGTGTGTGTGTGTGTGTGTGTGTGTGTGTGTGTATGTATGTTCTCACTCTCATGTGTGTATGTGTAGGCGTGTGTACATGTAGGTTTTGAGGATTCAAACTCTGGTCCCCGTGCTTGGGCATCAGAGCTTAATCACTGAGCCACCTCCCTGGGCTCTACCTCCCATTTTGTGTGTGTGTGTGTGTGTGTGTGTGTGTGTGTGTTTGCATGTATGTATTCTCACTCATGTGTGCACATGTATGGGTGTGAATATATGGAGGCCAGAGGTTGATGTTTGGGACAAGGTCTCTCACTAAACCTGGAGCTCATCAATTGGCTAGACTGGCTGGCCAGCAAGTCCTTGAGATCCTCTTGTCTCTGCCTCCCCTGCACTTGTGTTTCCAGGCACATGCCACACAATATCTGTATCCAGCTTTTTATGTAGGTACTGGGGATTCCAACTCAGGTTATCATGCTTGCACAGTAAGCACTTTACTGACAGCCATCTTCTCAACTCTGGGAGAAGAGATTTTGATAATCGTTTCCTATAGAAGGCTTTGAGGCAGGGAGAGGGGAGGAAAGATCCTGGGCTCCCTGCTTCCCAGTTTAGCATTATCCAGTCCTTGTTCCCCTGGATCAGCATAGCATGGACTCTCTTCATCCCTCTTCCACATGTTCTCCCCAGCTCCTGTCCCTTCTGGGGATCCAGGCAGGCAGACACCCCTTAAGTGTAGGAACGATACATACATAGGTGATGGACATAGGAGGGACTGAGTACCTAGGAAGGGTAGGTGTCTGAGCCCTCTCCCCTGTGCTTGCTAGGGCATAGAAGAGCAGGAGCTGTGCCTCCCTCAACAGTATCCACCAGGATCTTACCCTCTTGCAGAGCCAAGGTGACAGGCTTCTGCTTGAAGTCTGGTGTGCTGCAGCCTTCAGGAATCTCCTCTACCAGCTGCCGAATGCTTACTCCAGGGCTGGAAGACTTCTTTGGGGGATTTCCTGAGAAATTGGAAAGGGGGCATCTGGGTCTTCCTCTGTCTCCTCTTGGATTTCCTTCAGCAGCCTGGAGCCTCCACCCGCTCAGCTAGGGAGCCCAGCCCCTTCTTTCTCCCACTGTTCCCCCCAGGCTTGTCCCACTCACCTCCTGCCTCTGAACAGTGCTTTTTATCTTTCTAAAGAGAATCTGGTGGTTACCCTCTAGTTGTGTGAATGGAGTCCCTAGGAAGTGTGGAAGAGTGCCATGGGAAGATCTTGGGTGTGTCACTAGGGAAAAGCCAGGTAAAGGAGGATAGGAAAGGGCTAGTCCTCAGAAAGCAAAAGTCCATGTGGGGGCACACTAAAACAGGCCAAAATCCAAAGCCAAAACGGGAAAAGTGGTTATGGGTGAGTTCTCAAAGGGTTCTGGGCTCTACCTCCCTGCCCTACCCTCAGGTGAGGAGCACCAATGAGAGATGGAGAATCAGTTCTCTTACCTGCCATAGTTCTGGCTTCTTCTTGGCTCCTCTGAGGGCAGAAATTGATCTAAGGATGACAGATGAATTGCTTCTAAGAGGCCCAGGCTGGTCTCAGTCCACACCTCCCATACCACCAGGGCACCTGCCAGTATCTGGGTGGATGCTGGGGAGCAGCTACTGCCCCTAAGCACTTGTTTAACCCCAAGAATGACAATGATTAGGTTCCTGCCATTCCCTGGTTCCAGTGGATCAATTTCCCTGAGAAACCTTCAGGGAACAAGTAGGCTGCTGCCCAGTTCCGGAGTAAAGGAAGTCACGGTGCTAGGTCTGCATGCTGTTGGTGGCCTGGCCTCCTGGTGGGATCCAAGCCCATGACCATTCAGAGAGTAAGACCAAACTCATTCAGGAGTCATCCAGCTGTTTAACAGCCTCAGCTCCTCAACTTTGAGATGTGAATTCCCCAGCCTCCTAGCTCCTTCCTGAATTCTGAGGTTTTCTACTGAAGCCCAGGAGCCCTCTACTTCCTGTCCCCAACCAATTTGGAATCCTTTAGATCTCAAGGTCTGTGGAGGTGAATCCTTGTTTTGGCAACTCTGAAGCTCTTCTCTCCCCAAGCCAATGAGATCATCCTAATTTCATCTGCTCCCCTCTGAGCCAGTGAACTGTAGTATGTTTCCAGCCTCCTACAAGCACTACCACCATCATCTATCTCCCTCAAGTTCCTCTTAACTGCATCTATCTGTTATAACTGATAGGAGAGGGGAAAAGTTTGGCTCTGGGATAGGATGAGCACTGTGAATGAGTTGGTAGGAGACTTGAAAGAATTCTTCAGCAATCTCACCCTCTAAGAGGCTGGCACATGGGCAAGCAATTCCACTTTGGGGACTGTTCTTCCTGTCCAAAGAGCCCAGCCATCAATATAGAATCACACATGACAGAGCAAATTCCACCCTCCAACTGTTCCTCTTCCATTTCACAACTGCCCACCCACTGGCACTTCTGACCCCGTCTATAGCTGAGCTGCTGCTCCCGTGTGCTGGGATGTCATGGTGTGCCAACTGCGTTCTGGGGCGGTCATAGGCACCACAGGAGCCAATGCACTGGAGGGAGTCACAAGGGTGGGCAGAGGAAGGTCAGCACCAATGAACAGAACTCAGCTAGCCACACTGGAGGGAAGGGACACTAAGGCTCTGCCCCACCCTCCCCCAAGTCAGTGTCTGGTAGAGGGGAAGCTCCCTGGCACTGGAATTTGAGTTCAACACAGCTGTCTTAATCACCATCCTTATTATTACCACGAAGTCCATTATATTACAAGGCTATCTGTCATACATGATATATAATCCATATATCAGCCCCTTACCTTTGCCTCCTGCCTACAGGTTCAGTTGAGAAGTGAGAGAAGCAGGAGTCTGTGCTTAAGAGTCCGGTGTTACGCCACTTCAGGAATAATCCGGAGTAGGTACAAGGTCAGTGACTAATGAGTGAGGGGTATGTGTGGATAGAGAACAGAGGGATGAGGCTTAATTAGAAGCGGTGGGAAGGGGGTTGATTCTTTCCTTTGTGATTTATTCCCACATTTGGGAAGAATCTTAACTCTTCTCAACAAAAGCAGCAACTTGAGCACTCATATCCACCTAACCCAACCAAACTCTGAGTAAGGGCCCCAGACTGTGTCCCCTGACTTCTTTCCATGGCATATAGCTCCTACCCCCTACCCCCAGCTGCCACTCCATCCTGATGACCTAGGCCCCCCGCTACCTGCACTTTCTCCATGGGACGGAAGAACCAAATTATGTGTTTCTCTAAACTGCTTTGGCCATAAGGTTCCTATTCTGAACTGCTAGTAAGATTTTTAATCTAGTTGTCATATTACATTCTCAGCCAAGCAGTTCCTAGAAAATCGGAGCCAGAGAAGAACCACTGAGACAGGACTTACTGAAATTCTCTTCTCCAAGGAAAGCGGGGTCCTCTACGGGGGAAACAAATGAACCCCAACATGTGGTCAGCCAACCAAAGATGTTCCTGGGGCTGATCTCATGCTCACTGTCTGCCCCTTCCTGAGCAGAAAAGTTAGAGCACAGACCGGTATCTCCCTCCCTGTCATCCCCAGTCTGAGTGGGCAGCCAGGCCTGCAGTGCCCACCTACCTGCATGTCCTACCAGCCTTCAGCCTCTTGCTCACTCCTTCCTCCCTGTTTCCAGCTGCTGCTGGCTGCCAGGGACTCTGAGCCGTCTGGCAGTGGACAGACAGGGCTGGAGCAGATATAGGTCACTGCAGGCGCCTCACTCTGCCCCTCCCACTCACCCCACCTCCTCCTCTTCTGGCAGGGCAAGGCCCCCCAGAGCTAAGGGACCAGTCTGGGAGGAGCTCAGTGATGTAAGGGTCTTGTGGCATCTACCTATCCAGTTCTTGTTCTGCAGTCTTAAACTCTTTACCAGATTAACTGAGTATACATTTGTTCCACAAAGCCTCATTTGTCTGATTCTTTGGAGCAGGGACATTGTTGTCATCTTCAGCCTTAAATTTTCAGCTAAGCTCAACTTTTGGGACCCAGGACACCATAAGTCACACAGATACATAAAGCCATTGTCCTTTTGAGAACTGCATTCCCAGAGTGTTATCAAACAGTCAACAAACTTTGAGAGCACATCACATACCCCAAGAGACAGAAGTGTGGAACCCAAAGGCTCTGACTGATGGATGGCGTCTGGGACGGGAGAGACCCTGGGAACCAGAGCAGGTGAGCTTACTTGGGAGGGTTTTCAGGGATATAAGGGATTGCCTGGCCAGCTGGGTTGGGGACAGGAGTTGACAGGGAAGATGACTTGGTAAATGCTTGGACAAAGGTAGAAACTAGAAATAGGAAGCCTGGCAACTGAACTTAAGCATAGTAGAGGGCAGACAAGGCCCAGGAGACCAGTGATAAGGCCACTGGTCTGCTTTGTTTTGTTCACTGAGATCAGGTTTCATGTGGCCCAGGCTTGCCTTGAACTCTCTGTGTAGTTAAGGCTGGCCTTGAATAACTGACTCTCCTCCTTCAACCTCCCAAGTACAGGAATTACAGGCATGAGCTACTAGGCCTGGCTCACTGCTCTGCTTTGGAAGAGCCACCTACTTTTGCCTTAAGGACAGAGAGCTTCTTTGTTTCCCCAAAAGCAAGACTTGATTAAAGCTTCAGCTTGAAAGCCAGAGACAATAGCTACTCAGGAGGCTGAGCGGGGAGGATTGTTCAAGCCCAGGAGTTCCAGGTCAATCTGGACAACATAGTAAGATCCATTCTCAAAATAAAGTATGGGAGGGTCTAGACGTAGGGTTCACTGAAAGAGCTCTTGCCTAGCATGCATGAAGCCCTGGGATTTGATCTCTAGTACGGGGGGTGGGGGGCAGGTAAAATAGGAAAAGTAGAAGGGAAATGGAGCTAATGTGCCCATATTCTATTCAACTCTACAGCATCTCCCTCAGCATGATCTCTGAGGGGGAGCTTTAGACCTCTACCAGAATGTGCTGTGCAGTTGTGTGTCCCTCTTGTGTGTTTCTGGAACGCCTGGGGCTGGTCTTTCATTTATTCAGCTAGTATGTATTGAACAATACCTTATGTTAGGGCATTGTTAGGCCTGAGAATACAAGGTATGCAAACATAAAGCCCCGCTTTCATGAAGTCGAATGGGGCAGATAGATGTTGACCATCCAGTTACAAACTGCAAACATGCTCTGAAGGAAACAAGACAGAGCCAAGAGAGCCAAAAGATAGAGAGCTAGGGAAGGGCAGCCAGCCCCAAGTGAGTTTGGACAGGTAGGCTCTGGAAACCATTGTAGAATTCTGACTTCTCTGGAAAAAGCTATTGAGGGATGACAGAATCCAATTTGGATTTTTTTTAAAGCACACCCTGGCTGCAGGGAGGGAAAAAAGGGATTGAGGGAAGATAGAAAGAGAGATGCAGGAGTCTAGTCTCCAGGAGGGCAGTCAAACACAAAGCACGTTTACTTATGATGTGCCCTGTACTCCAAAAGACTTTCTGAGCCACCATGCTACATTGTCCTGGTAAGGTAGAGAGGGAGGTTCCACAGCCTGGCCTCTATTTCCAGTGTCTTAAGAGTAGTCACGTTAGGAGTGCCTTTCCTCTCTTCACTGTGTCATACTTACATCTTTTTCATTGCAATGAAATTAAGTTTAGGCCTCTAAGAAGCAACATGAGTTAAACAGCCTGGCCTCTATTTCCAGTGTCTTAAGAGTAGTCACGTTAGGAGTGCTGTTCCTCTCTTCACTGTGTCATACTTACATCTTTTTCATTGCAATGAAATTAAGTTTAGGCCTCTAAGAAGCAACATGAGTTAAATCATTTCCCCTACCCTCTATCCTCTATCAAATGTGATATCCAACAACTTTTATCAGACCATGTGAAAGTGAGGATCTTCAACTGTATAAGAGGTTCTGTCTCAGATATTGATGGTGTTCCCTGTCCTTGCCCACCAGGAAGGAAAGGATGTAGTACACTCCTCCTGGGTATCTCCCAATTATCACTCGAGCCAACAGATCTAGTGTTATGATTCTTTCCCAGTGGCCTTTCCTAAACTCAGATGTCAGTGGTAACATTTCCCTACTACCTCTGCTGTTAGACTTTTCCTTGGGATATAAAATGCAAGTCTTAGCCTTAGTTTTGGAATAAGGCAAGAGATTTGTGTGTGCTGTCCACTCTTCCTCCATGCTGAATCTCTCCTGGCCTTGCAAGAGGAAATGCATTATACGGCAAGAAGGATAAGGCTCAGGTCTGTCTAGAACCCTTTACTTCTCATGGCATAAAATGGATGAAAGGGTCTCTGAGATGCTAGTGTTAACACCCTACAGTTCTATGATTAGCTGAGTGTCCCATAGACTTGAAAAGCAGGTAACTCCATGTGACTCAAAAGTTTGAACTGATTCATGAGTTATCATTGCTCTGTGCCATGGTGTAAAATGGCTGTGCTCAGCTGGATGAGGCAACCAAGAATGCTCTGCATGGGTCACCATCCTCTCTCATCTCCTTG